ACGAGTATATAGCCTTCTTTGTTTGAAGTAGGCTGCAGGTATCATTGTAGCAGCCAGTTAACATGAGCTTATATATCATAATCCCTTTAAATATTCAGAGTTGTCACTGCTGAGCCGTGGTAGCTCAGGCGCCTAGATATCGCTGTATGTTTCATAGTACGCGAGCAACGCAAATTCGATCCCCGCCGGCACCAGTTAAATTGTTAATTGAAATTTTAAGTGCTGATTTACCACGTGCTTGACGGTAAAGGAAAAGATCGCGAGGAAACATAATTATATGTCTGAGAAATAAGAAAAAAAAATTTCGCAGACATGTGAATGTGAAGTTCGCCAACACGCATTGGGCCAGCTCGGCGGACACTTCCTTGGCCTTTGAAATGAGAGGAGGCCTGTGCCCAGCAGTGAGACGTATATATGATGTAACTTTAATAGGGAATACCTCATTACCGATAGTAAAACTTTCTGCGTCTCGTTACTCAGCAGACAAATCAAAGCTACATTATGCATTTTTATCTTACGCTAGTACTCTATAAGCGGGTAGTTCTTCGTCAGGAAAAAGAATTATTTCTAAACGTTCCTTAACTAATTTTAAAAAATAATTTCAATAAAAAATAAAATATTTTCAACCTTCTTTTTATATAGAGTTGTAGTTTTTATATAGAGAATGAGTAGAGAATCTTCAATCTTCTAAACCGCACAACCAATTTCAATGAAATTTTGTAAATGTGTATTGACTTGCTCCTACTTGAGAGATTTTATCAATCACAAGTTGGTCCAACTTGAGAGTTTTTATTCCCTTAAGTGTCCCTCAATATTTTTATTGCAAATTTAAGAATTAGGACAACGGGTCCTCGAAAATGGCAGAACAACATTTGCCTGGTGCGCTAGTAGAGTATAGATTTCAAGCAAATCGAATTAAACACAAATTCACAACGAGTCTTGTGTTTAAATGCAACAGAAATACAACTGCAGTAATTGACAATTCTGACCGACATTAGCAATGTGGGGTCGTAAAATTTGTTTATATCAGATTTACGACAGTAGAAACAAACACGAAATAGGTATAATTGCCGACATAAGTCGTGAGCACACTTTTTATTGGTCGATACGACGTTGAGCACGCAGACGTTCAACGTGATTGGTTCATCAGTCGATTCTCGTCGTCTATTGGTTTCGAATGTATCATCGGCTTCCGTACACTTCAGAGCAATAATTTTAGTGATAACTTTTTAATTATTTTATTTTCGTTAATTGTTTTTGTTACCTCGTTGTTAATTGTTGTTTGTGTATTCCTAGTTATTAATTATTTTTGTTATTTCTTGTTTTTAATTATTTTTGTTGTTATAATTTGAGTGTTCAGATTTTGGTCTAAATATGCAGAAAAGGAAGGATTCGGTGTTAAATAGACAATCCCGACAAATGGTCTATTCAGTTTTTAGTTAGATGGAAAAATTAGGTACTGCGAAAACAACATAGACGTGTATAAACAGACAGCCGCTACTGTCTCAGTAGCTACTGTACGGCGCACCGCAACACCAGATTTTATGGAAGGCATATCACCTCTTCCTTCCTCTTAATAAAATAATCAATTCTAACCACCAGATATACATTAAATAAATTATAGTAGATAATAAAATAACGGACACGAATATCTGCAACATTACTGTATCAAGGTAAAAGTTGATGTGTTCGAGTAAACATTTTCATAAAAGTCGGCGAAAATATTCAATTTCGAATTGAAATAATAAAGTTACCCAATAAATTTTGCCCGACAGAGTAACTACCTCCCAGCACAGTTTATCTGTGCTCACGACTCGTGTCGGAAACTATACATGTCGAAATACGTCAAAACATGCGTTAAGTATGGCGTACTAGTATAAAGGGTCATTGACATAATCTATACAAATAAAATTGAAGTGTCTGTTTAAAATGTCAAAATAATAACTTTTACTCTAAATTCATATAAAAATATATGCGGTACCTACTTATAACAAAAACACAATTGCATGCCTAAGCGCAATGCGCGTAGGTATGTTCTACTATCGCCTAAAAATCAAGAATCCAACGTTTTGTCGCATGAAATCGTATCTAACGATCATACTGAACATATAAATGATGTAAAAAACACATTGTTAGAAAGATAACTGATTGTTATACTTATATCAATTAATTGCTATTTTTACATTAAAAGGTTGTTTTAGTGGCTTACAAGTCCGCATGGAGGGGTAAACACGATAACTTTTGAAAATATCAATTGTTCAATTCAATTCATTTTTAATCTCTTCATCTATCATGTGAGAAGCCATGGAATGTAAATGGCTGTTTAATTTTGTTTTGTTTAGTTATAATTAATTTTTTCGGCCGAGAAATTCTGAAATTTGGGTGTTCCGGCAGCCTTGTAATAAAATATTTTACAAAATACAGATCCACTTTGACTCATTGCGTCACTGTTCAGTTCAGTGCTCACTGCGGGCTTGGCCGTCGTCGTGAATGAGTGACTGTATCGTGTGTTTACAGCGGCTCGTGACGAAAAATATTGATCGCTGTAGAAATACAAAATACTCCAAAAACCAAATTTGATACATACTTGACCAACGTAAGATATTATTATTTTTATAATCACAGATTTTCGTTACAATATATTGTGTCGCTAAAAGTACGTAGGATTAATATATAAATATATGTACATACTACATATACGTCTTGAACTTTATGGGAGTGACCTGAAGGTGTAAAATGGTGAATGCTAAATTAAAATACTGGTTATGACTAGATGAAAAACTTTTTAAAAACAAAATAAATTTGATGAGTTTTTTACTAACAAGTCAAGTAAAAAAGACTAGGTTAAAAAGACTAGTTTTTACGATAATGCCTGAGTACAAATACCTAAAAATTAAAGTAATACTAAATTTTATTTCTGATCGTTTTAAGATAATTCTGTTAAAAGTTTTTTCAATTAACAATAATAATAAAAAATTTGAATCTCGATAACAATAACGTAGTAAAATTAAAAATAAATATTTTCTATTTTTGAGAATTTTTTCCACATTTTTTCATGATCACACGAGCATTATGAGTCATGCACTTTTGGATTTTCCAAACTTTTTTTATTGACGTTTGACATGAAATTAGTAATACCTAGTAACAAGGTTATTTGTAAAAACTTGTGTGTATTTAAAATACTTAAAAAAATACTTATAACAGCGAGCGCTTAAGGCATGTATGGATGGACATTTGGATTTACCAAAAGTTTATTTTTTAATTTTTGTCTGTCTGTTTGTTTCGATTTATCTCCGAAATGGCTGGACTGATTGTGACGGGACTTATACTGGCGTATAGCTAATGTTATAAGAAGTAATTCAGACTGATTTTATTTTAGAAAAAGAATTTAGGGTCCCGCGCGAAAAATATTTAAACCGTAAAGTAATAATTCAACGCGGACGAGTCGCAGAGAACAGCTAATTTAATATAAACATAATAAATAGTGGCCAAAATTAACTGAATTAAAAATAGCTCCACGTTGTAATGACACCGTTCTTCACCTTCTAGTTGTAAATGCGAGACGTCCCACGTTTAAATTTCGTTTGATCAAATATTTCACCTTTTAACTTTTTAAAGGTTTTCATTATATTAGAATGAAAAATTAACACCTGCTCCTACTAAAGGAGGCCTAAGCCATACTTATTCTATAAAAAAGATATCTAACATGTCTACGCAAACCAAGGCCATGTACGAAATTGCGTTAACTAGGCTGTTAGGCGCATATCTCCATATAACGCCATCAGATAAGTCCTTAATTAGGCCAGAGATACCGATGCAGGGCTTGTAGCGACCTCCGTATCTAATCTACAACAGGTATACTCCAATTATAACCGCTTCGCAAACATCATGATTTACTCGCGCTTACAACACTAAAGATATGTCACCTGCCACGTTGCCGCGATCGTAGGGCTATAAATCAGAATGGAAGCAGCGCTCAGCGCTACAATTTTCTTAGGCCGTGTATTTTAGTATCGGACAGCAAACCGTTGATTTGATTTATATTGTAGTTATTAAAACAGTATCTACAAACTAATCATTTTTAATGAAAATACAAACGCATTACAAAAAAGTGATACAAGTTACGAAATTCAATAAGCTTAAAGACTAAAACAGTAAGCAAAAAAAATCTGACAACGTAAAAAAGTTTACCGAAAAGAGAAAAAGTTTGTACCCTATGTGCCTTTACAACTAACGTGAATCTAATGACACCCATAACATCTTAAAATCCATCCAGCGTTTTAGCGTCACAGAAATAGACACACATACCTCGAATACGTGGTTGTGCCACGCTGCAGCTATATTATGGTTGTAGCACGAATGGGGGTCAGCTCGTAAGAAAGAAACCTGACGCTCTCACAGAATACCAGCGCAAAATAGCAGCTTAATGCTGCTGTGTTTCGTATGGTGAGTGCAGAGATCCGGAGACCCTTTTTTACTGGAAACGAGGCACTCCTATTTAGTCCTCAGGGGTGACAACGCATCTGCATTTTGATTCTTAATAGAGGATTAATGTAAATGCCACAGCATCCACTTACCATCAGTTGGACTATGTGCTCGTATGTCACCCTTATTCTATAAAAAAAAGATACATCTACATTACGTACGTTCGAAAAACATTACCGAATTGAAAATACAATCGAACGTAACGAACGTAACGTGGGGCACCCCACGTTCCCCCCACCCCCCTTCTGGGGAACCTTCTGGGGCAAAAAGTAAAAAACAAAAGCTTTTTAATTGCATGTCTATATTAGATATAAAAATGACTTTTTCTCGAACAAACCATTGCTGAATGCAATTACGATACTGCAAGTACTGGCGGCAAATATTTGATTAACTTTTTCATGTGCATTAATTTTGTCAGAGGTTATTCGTGCATGAAAAAACGGCGGTGCCGCAAATATTTTTTGACGCTAATAAAATAATTTGAGTTAATGAAGTTGCGATAAAAAAGTTTATACCTGCTGCTCGGACGTGACTTCCTCTCTGCTGCTGTCATCTGTAAAAAGAAAAAGAAACGGATTAAATATACATCAAAAAATAAGGTTTAATTAGGCGGCTGACACGGGAACGGTCGGCGGGGACCTAAAGGTCTATTACCTACATGATTAAAGATTACATCATCAAAATAGAATTACTCGAGGTAAAGCAGTAAACCTCAAAGAAGTAATCATAGAAATAAGAAAAGAATTTTTAAATTGTACTCAAAACATTCCGGCAACAATGCCTGAGTTTCTATAATATTGTAACGGTAAAAGAAAGTGATGACTTTTATTTTCCTTTGCGACTAAAACAAAGTGATTCCCAATTATTGTTTAAGTTCATTGAATTTACATAGTCTTAGTGCAGTAAGTTGTGAGAGTTAACGGAATCTCTCTACTGCTTTAGGTAATCTCCTTTGCGAATAAAACAAAGTGATTCCCAATTATTGTTTAAGTTCATTGAATTTACGTAGTCTTAGTGAAGTAAGTTGTGAGAGTTAACGGAATCTCTTTACTGCTTTAGATAATCTAGAATCGGGACTTTTATTTAATTTCGACTTCAAAAAGGTTATTAATTCTATTGTAATTTCTATTTAACATAAAATTATCAAGGTTAACCTTTTCTTTATTCGCTCGTTTAAAAACTCTTACCTATAAACCAACCTTGAAAATTTTGTGTTATGCTAAACATGAACCCACTGCCTTTGTTGGAACCATTTGCCTTACTTTTCCCGACTAGCAGGCGATTTGACTATCGCTATTGTTGAGGTCGCGCCTTTGATTTCGCTGCCCGTTGCCGGTTTATATATTTCACGTCTGACGTAAACTAGACGGTATACCGCCATCATTGGAAGCCACAACATTATTCCGTCAAATCCCAGTCGCCACTTACGACATCCCGAGGACAAAATGGGATTAAGCGATTTATAATTTATGACGAAAAAACTTCTCAACTCAGTTGTCCGAGAATTAAAAAAAATAATAATAAAATAATTATCAAAAGGCATTCTAGTTTTTACATCTATCAAAAATTAACTTTTAATAAAAAGTCGCCGACTTTAAAGAACTAGAAAGAATAAAATAATTTCACGATTCACGATTGCAAAACGTGAAATTATTTTATTCTTTTAACTCTCAGACACCGGCATTTAGTTTTTATTAAAATTTATTTCTTTAACTATTTGTGTGGAGTAAGGAATATTTCAATAGATATCTTGGAAATCTGAGTGGAATTTTCTCAAAATGTATGTGACCACCCTTAATGTACGTAACATATATATAAAAAAAAGAATCATCCAAATCGGTTCATAGCTGCTGAAGATATCGCGTAATATTATACATGCAAAAAGAACATAAAGTCGATTTGTGAACCACCGTTTTAAACACATCAAAAGGCTTATATATGTCTCGGACCAAGTGTTCAAGATGTATGTTTCAAAAAATCTTACATTTATCTGAATTAAAATACTAATATTTACTTATACTTTTTATTTTAACTTAATAAACTGTAACTTTTTAAAACTCAGGAACATTTTACCCAGGAAAGGAATAAAGTGAAAATAAGTAATTCAACAATTGGTAAGGAAACATCGATTGAAGTTAATGATTAAATCAGTACGTAGTATATGCGTTTCCAATCAAAATATTCATAATGAATGTGATACCGACGTGTATACGGGATTGCCGAAAAATTCTCATAAATATTTTGAAAAGTAAACACAATTACAAAATACCGACGTTTTTGCAGAGAATAGAACCGTACGAACAGCAAAAGGCTTCTGGGTTTCGTAAATCTCTAACGAATAACAGAACTTCGTTTTCCTGGTAACGAGACGTTCCACCTCATATCTCAGGGTTGACAAGGTGTCTTTAGGCTACAGCATCCACTTACCGTCAGTCAACCTGTATGCTCGTTTGTCACCTTCACTTTCATGAAAAAGTTACTTCCTTGATCCCGATGGACCAGGAGTCATTTTTTTAAACTGTTTAGGATGATTAAAGTATGTACTAGATGGAAGCCAATTGGTTGAATAAAGTCGAAGATTGAGAGTGATTTAGGAGAGGCTGTTGTCGTTCGGTAAGATTCTGTGTACATAGAATCACATCAAATTTTTTAACAAAAGCGCCACCTACGTCCAGGGACCCACTCCATCACACACAAAAACTTCATCGAAATCGGTCCATATATATATATATATATATATATATATATATATATATATATATATATATATATATATATAAACTTCAGTAGCAAGTTAAACTTTACGCATGCACTACCCTTGCACGCTCATTCAAACCGACAAACACATGCAATCAGTGACATCGCTCTAAACGCTTGAGATTGTTCAATTGAATCGCAAAGAATTGCAAGCGCATAGTATAAAAGATTGCGCCGCATTAAACAATTTCTGTCTACCGTTCCGTCTACGACTCATTTCCAGTGACATTCAAATAAGCATCTCGACGTTTGAATGAGCCTGACACACAGACTCATGTCGCAGTCTAGAAACTGGAGACTGTCGTCAGATGCCACTACCAGAACGTTTCGCTGGGTCGTCAACCCCGCCATGCCGTGCATGATTTTACGCTTGTAAACATAACTACGATATAATACAATGAAAATAAGTACACAGCTAACGACAATATCATAGAAGTACACTGTACTTGCTGTTGCATTACAAGCACTAGTGTTTGGCGGGAGAAATAGGTGCGGTTAATTCTACCACCTAGTATTTTGTCTAACCTTGCCATCGCCGTAGACTTCCTGCATCACTTATCAGGTCGTCACTCGATCTTGTGATCACTTTGCTTTTTATAGATTAAGGGTGACAAACGACCAGACAGTCCACCGTATGATAAGTGGACGCTGTGACCCATAGACGTCTACGTCTATCCTCAATCAAAAAGCAGATGCGTTGTCACAGAGTCCCTCAGAACGAAGATTATTGCCTACATACAAAAGGGTCTCCGGCCATCTACACTCACCTTCCGAAACAGCAGGATTATTCTGCTGTTTTATTTTAATTAAAGTCTAAATATCTTAATTTAATAAAACTCTAAATGTCTTAATTTAATTAAAATCTAAATATCTTAATTTAGTTAAATTCTAAATATTAGTTGTTTTCTTTTGTCGCCTTCTACGAAACTTACGGGATGGTATGGGACAGTGGATTCTCGCTGTTACTTCGCGGCTTCTAAATATAAATACTTTAATTAAATATAATTCTAATAAATATAACGTCCTCATCTGTAAAACTGCTGCTATACAAAATTTCAAAAAAAAAATTAATGAAACAATCGAAGAAAATGTAGGAATTATTGTTATCAAGTCACTTTTTTCATTTTCACAGAATATCATTGATGCCTTTACTACGAAAAACTGGGATTCCAATAATTAATTACACGCATTTTTCATCGTATCATCGGATTGTAATTTAGGTGAAGTTCGCTATTATGAGCGTTTCGCTTAGGCAAATAAACAAATGTTTAAGTGTGCTAAATATTTGTTTAAAAATTCACAAGAAAGGCGGTAAGAGTTAACCTTTGCTTTGAGTTTGTTAAAAAAAAACTACACAGGAATTCCTTGTTAAATACCAATATGAAATATTCCTAACATTGAACACATAGAGTTCATTTTTAAACGAAATTTTAATAATATGCGCATGCAAATACAGAGATTTATTTAACTCGAAGACTATTTACTAAGTGCATTCACCCTCGGAGTCGACGCGTGACAAGATCATCCCGCTGTAACATTATGATACAAAAGCACATTACCCGACTATCTGCTTCAACTTTTTAAATACAGTTATAACACTTAAATCAAGTTATTAAGACAAAAACCACTACTTGTACGGTTTTTTACATTCAAACGATGAAACTCGCTATTTAACAAAATCATAATATATAATAACGATGATGGATTCCGCAATTTAATTTTATGGAGCGGTTAAAATATTCAGCAAAGGACCGTTACTTTGTCTATTCCAAAATTAAATTGCAAAAAATAATTATTCGCATCCAAGCAATGGCCTCGTATATTTTTTTATAAAATAAGGGTGACAAACGAGCACACAGTCCATCTATTGGTAAGCGGATGCTCTGGCTCATAGACACCTACAATTATCCTCGATTAAGAATTAAAACGCATATGCGTCGTAACCCCTGAGAACTAAGATGGAATGCCTCGTTTCCAGTAAAAAAGGGTCTCCGGATCTCTACACTCACCAAACGAAACACTCGTGGTCCTTCCTCGGTCGAGCCGACCCATTCGTGCTACAACCATAGTATAGATGCAGCGTGGTTCTACCACGAACAAAAAACCACTGATAACTATATTCTGAAGATAAGGAAAAATAGCATGCCACTGATAAATGTAGCCCCCCCATATGGATTGCCTAATATGGAGATATTTTCCATGGTTGCCATGCTTGGCAACCGCAGTTCTTTTTATTTTTTACTTTTTCTGTGGCTTTACTTTACTATTTCTGTGGCTACCCATTTCCTGGTTTGTTCCTCTCATCGATATAGGGTAGTGGCTGTTCTCACATCACTACTAAAAGATCAAAACAAGCATAATAAATAAAAGTATATAATAAATAAATTAAAAAAAAAATGTTTTATCAGTAACGTGGCAAAGGCCCTCCCCTTTTGGTGGGCCGTATCCTCGGGCGGCAGATTCTAGGTGGCGGCAATTTGGGAATTAAATTATGTAATTTTATTTTCACTTATTCTTTTATGTATTGCATCCCATCAAGAGTCCACAGCTGAACGTTTTTGCCGTAGTTGCCACGCTTGACAGACGGCTTAGCATCCGCAGCTTTTTTATTATATTGTGGCGGCGCTGTCGTCACGCCGCAAACAGGCCTCTATCACTATGCTACCTGCGTGAAATAATTATCTAAAATCGCGACGCGCCCGGGCGAAATAACGCAGTCAGGGCTGGCGCGTTGGTGGCGATCGAATGTTAAAGTTTTTTGCCGCTGTTTACGTAAATAGTTTTATGTAAATAGTTGTTGAAATAGTTTTTGTTTAGTGTTTAGTATATTTAATTGTAGGTGAAAACAGTTGTAAAAGTTTTAATGTATTTTAAAAATTATATAGGTATTATTATTTATTGAAATCGAATGATACACAATTAAGCTATTGCATAGCTTCTTGAATAAAATAAGTAAAATTTATGATAAAATATTTTTAAGATATTAAAATATTTTTTTTTTTAATAAGAGAAAAAATTTCTAAAAAGTTAATATTTAAAGTTTATAAATAAAATAAATAAATAATTATAATTGCATAAGTAGATAAAAAATGCTATGGAATCTTTAAAGTATTTTGTTCTACATTTACATATCATGAAATTAATGTATCAAAAAATACTAGTAATTGTATTATTTTAATTTCGATAGTTTTTAATTGATTTATTTATTTTGTTCAAAAAATTTTGTTTTTATTTGTTATTGCTGAAAATTTATTTAAAATTAGTAGTATTTATTGATAGATCAATTTCATAATACGTTAATGTAAAATATTTTTTTTTGTTTTAAATTTACGTATTATGAAATTTATCTATTAAAAAATACTACTAATTGGGTAGGTACGTATTATTTTAATTTCGATAGTTTTAATTGATTTATTTATTTTGTTCAAAAATTTTGTGGTTATTTTTTATTACCGAAAGTTTATTTCAAATTAGTAGTATTTATTGATAGATCAATTTGTTAATACGTTAATGTAAAATAAAAAAAATGTAAAATTGTCAGAACCATAGGCTTCTATTCCGTTCACCTATTACAACTTATTTTTTCCAGACGGTAAAAAAAATACATATGTCGGTAGGCGCGCCATCTAGCGTAAGTTAATTGTACTATGCCTATAACCTTCGCGCAAGTGCAAGCAATAAGTTGACAAAGTTTTACCGCAATCTGATAAAGCAATCTGGCAGCGTATAAAATACGAACAAACAAAGATTAATTATAACTAATATACAAAAATTAATATACAATGAACGTTACGGACAGAAATAACTACTTGTCGTAACAAACAAGCATAAGTATGCGCCTAATTCGCCGTGTAACGTCTCCATAACGTTTCGCGTGGTTTTGTGAAATTTCGCATACCGTTCCGTTAATTCACATCGCGTTTGCAGGTCACTGCACCCCATTATCTCAGAACCTCTGTGTGTTAAATATTATATCACGCTTTACTTACCAGCGGCTATTACCTAGAAGTGGGTCGTTCAGAAATAGCTTGCGAGCAATTAAAGAGATTGAAAGTGGATGATCATACTAATATGTTTACAATAACTCAATAAGCGTTGAGGAGGATTTATAGAATAAACATGTACATTTTTAAATGCCGTTCTAGCTTCGCTGTAAAGTTCATGGTACGCGAGCAACCCGTTAATGCAATTGCAATTTTAAGTGCTGATTTACCACGTGCTCGGCGGTGAAGGAAACCATTGTGAGGAGTAGGTTCTCTGCTCCATGAAGCATATTTTGAAATAGGAAAAAAATATTCGAAGACATGACATGTGAAGTTCAACACGCATTGGGGCCGCGTGGCGGACATTTACTTGCGCTAAAACCCTCTCAGAAAAAAGAGGAGGCCTATGTCCAGCAGTAGGACGAATATAGGCTGTAACTTTAACTTTTAAATTTAAGTCAATATGCTGTCGAGGATTTATAGCATAAACGTGTACATTGTTAAATGTTTACCACGTGCTTCGCGGTAAAGAAAACATCGTAAAAAATCCTCAATGGCTACCAAGAATTTCGAAGACACGTAAACTTCCCAAACTTAGAGTAAATTCCACGTTCTATAGCTAATAGCTATACCACGTATAAAAATTAACTAAAGATACTTAATTTTTTATAGTACCACGTTTCAGCTATATATTACCTACAGTATCTTATACACTCTCACAGAATACCAAAGTAAAATAGTAGCTTCATGCTGCTGTGTTTGTGTTTCGTATTGTAAATGAAAAGAACGGAGATCCTTTTCACTGGGAACGAGGCATTCCATCTTAGTCCTCAAGGATGACATTTGCGTTTTGATTCTTAATCGAGGATAGATTTAGATGCCTATAAGGTATAAGCCATAGCATCCACTACCGACTGGTAGTTTGTGCTTCTTTGTCTAATTTATTCTATAAAAAAATTAAAGATGGTATATCCACTCCATAGCTTTGTTAAAAATGAGAAGTCTGTTTTTAGTTGTGTTGTAATGTGGTTGACAATTCAGGCTGTGACATCAAAAACAGTGACAAAATGTAATGAAATCAAATATCCTTATGTCTTCGACGTAGAAAATGAAACTTTCTTTTGTCAAACATCATTTTTAGGGCTCCGTTGTAACAGAAGAGACCCTATCACTAAACCTCAGCTGTCCGTCCGTGCGTCCGTCTGTCAGCGAGCTGTATTACATGATCCATAATAAGTAGACAGTTGAATTTTTCACAGAATGTGTATTTCTGGCCGTATGACGACGCTCAAGGTCGCTCAGCGAGCTATGGAGAGGGCTATGCTCGGAGTTTCACTGCGTGATAGACTCAGAAATGAGGATATCCGCAGTGAAACC